CCAGGCCCTACACCATTGACGATATGAAACATTCACTATTGACGTTGGTGACATTCACATTAGGGGTATTTTTGGTAATTATGTCACCCTAGGACTTACTTGAAACATAAGAAAATAATGTGAACTAATGGAACATAAGTAGATGAAAATGGTATTTTTTTGTCTTTCTTATCTCAATAATAGGACCTAATGGAAATAGTAAAAAAGAATATGAGTTGGATGGAATAAACACTCTTAGAAAAGTGAATTTATCAAAAAAGCTCCATTTTTTTATATTTATCTTACTGAGCCTCTAATCTTATAACTACCTGACATTATTATTATATATATTTTATAAATATAACTTAAATACAACCGAAATACAAATCATATAATAAAAATTTCTTTTTTTATATAAAAATATAAAACATAATATCAAGATTAATTATAATACATAAACTACACATTAAATTAACTAAATATCACATTAATTCTCATATAACCACACAGTAATAAAATTTAAAATAAAATAATAATAATAATATAATAAATAAATAAATAAAGACTTACGAAAAATCAGGGTCGCTACATATTTCTTTTTAAATATTTTCTATCAAATAAATATTATTGATAATGAAATTAATTTTATTATTATTTTTATTTTATAGCCACCTATTTTGCCATAGCAGCAATTAGTGATCACCTACAATTTGAAGTATGGAAGAAACATCAAACTATCTATTTAAAGGTAAGTTGTATAAATAGTATTTAAACATTTTACTAATTGGACAAGTTTTGAGTAATGAATGTTATTTTATGAACTAAATTTTAACTGTGTAAAATATTCGTCCGTATTTTTGTGGTCTAAGTTACGTATTTTTTTGACCAATGTTATAAGTTATGATAATTTATGGTCCAGAAATAAAATTATACATTTTGTTGTAATGTTACGCATTTCTATGATAATATTACACATTTTTTTATTCAAATATTTTTTAACAAAAAAATGTATAACATAACCACAAAAATATGTAACTTTATTTTTAAACTCAAATTATCGTAATTTCTCCAAGAAAAATAGATAATATTTATCACAAAAATATGTAACATGTATTACAAAAATGAGTTTTGAGAGGTGTATACCATAATATTACTATTAAACATTAAAATTGCAGTGTAATGTGATATATACATATATATATTGTATCTTATCATCTTGAAACATATAGTTAGGGATGTAATCAGTTCGGGTCGGTATTTAGATAAAAATTTTTACCGAATCGATAATGTTGGTTTTATTATTTTGAACACCGATACAGACCGCTTCTCTCATTAAACCGTATCGAACGAAACCGATTGAAACGTTTTGGTTAGATGCGGTTTAATCGGTGTCAGATTTTTCAAACTTGAATCACTTTTAAATATAATCACTAATTTATATAAAAACACACTACTAAAATTTCAGCTTTTTGCGACAGTAAAATGCCATCGCTAATACTTCTAATGCCGTCGCAAAAAACTTTTTGCGACGGCAAGAGGGAGGTCGCAACTAGGGGGTTGCAAAAGAGTTTTTGCGACGGCTAATGTTTTGCGACGGCATTTTTGTCTTTTGCGACGGCACTTTGCAATCGCTAATAATGTTTGAAATTTTTTGACTTTTTCGCTTCTCTCATTAAACCGTATCGAACGAAACCGATTGAAACGTTTTGGTTAGATGCGGTTTAATCGGTGTCAGATTTTTCAAACTTGAATCACTTTTAAATATAATCACTAATTTATATAAAAACACACTACTAAAATTTCAGTTTTTTGCGACGGTAAAATGCCATCGCTAATACTTCTAATGCCGTCGCAAAAAACTTTTTGCGACGGCAAGAGGGGGGTCGCAACTAGGGGGTTGCAAAAGAGTTTTTGCGACGGCTAATGTTTTGCGACGGCATTTTTGCCTTTTGCGACGGCACTTTGCAATCGTTAATAATGTTTGAAATTTCTTGACTTTTTGCGACGGCACTATTTTACCGTCGCTAAAAATGTTATTTGAGACAGCAAAAAATGCCGTCGCTAATGGTCTTTTTTTTGCAACGGCAAGAACACTGTTTTTGCGAGGGTGTGGTGCCGTCGCAAAAAGTATTAAAAATATAAAAATTTTCTATTTTTTGCGACAGTGTACTGCCGTCGCAAAAAGTATTAAAAAGGTAATAAAATTTCTATTTTTTGAGACAATTTAGTACCGTCGCAAAAAGTAAAACCTGTAACAAAATCAATAAAAATATTAAAATTTTATGTTTTTAGTTCTTTCAATATTAAAATTTTGAACATCTTCCGATAAAATCATTAAAAATATTAAAATTTCTCCATAATTATTGCATAATAATATAAAAATTCATGTATAAAAATAATAATTTCTTCATAATAAAATATTCTTCCATTCATAATTACACATCAACAAAATTATCCCACTACATAACGTTCCATTATACATATATAATGTTTAAATACAAGATTTTGTTCATAATTCAAAATAACATAAACCAAAATTAAATGTTTTTCTCATCATTCTTCGTAGATAACAAAAACAAAAATTAACCACATTCTCTACAGGCATGCATTCTACAAGAAGCACACTCCTACATGGGAAATATCTGAAAAATAAAAATAAAAATAATTAATGACAATATATATAAACCTTACACTTCATCAATTCAATTTATACCACACAAACACATTCAAAATAAATTCAAAATCCAATCACAACCAAATACCAAGATAATGTATAAAAATGTCAAGTCACAACCAAATCCTACTTGGGTCGTCTCTCAAGTCACAATCAAAAACACCCAAAATGATGATTCTTTAGAACAATTTTGTATCTGCTTTGGTTCCTTGCCCATATGATTTGATTCAAAAAAGAGTATACCAAACAACACATTTTTTACCCCTTTTGTTTAGAATAAAAAAATTGCAAATCTGCTAGACCTTAATCCAGATGGTTGCTGTCTTGTAAAACCCTCTCTTAATCAAACATTATAAAATTTGGAATAAAAAATGCAAACATGATTATTATGAAAGCAATAAAAATAATAATAATAATGCAACATTTTATATGTCTGTAGAACGTGAGCTCGAGTTGAATCAAAATTTAATTCCATGTACTTGTAATTAATTTTATGGGACAAAATTTTCCTTATTCAAATTTTTCTATCATTTTGTCTCAATATACTACCAACTGCGAAGCAAACTCATTAATTTGGACTGAAGAGTCTAGTTCTCATGGTTGTGGACTCACCTAATCCCTAATTTGATTGTCGTACCACTTCCACACACCCAAAAAAAAAGACACACACACACAGAGGTAAGCGAGGGGAGGGGGAGAATTTTGTGGAACCATCTTGAAGGGGAGGGGAGGGGTAGAATAAAAGAAAACAATAAAGAATTTTTTTAAAAAAATAACAATACAAAGGAAGTTCTTCAATAATTGTAATTTATCAAATTAAATTAAGTCTTGAAAGAACTTAAAATAACTAATCAAAAACCTTACAAAGTTCAATGAATAAAATAAGAAAAAAAAAATCATAAATAGCAAAGTTGGTGAAAAAAAATAAAAAATAAAAATAAAATAAATAACGATGTGAATTTGAAATGCTTGTTTGTTTTTAATAGAGTTTACATAAGAATATGATATGAATGATGTAAAAAGAAATTGTTCAATTGAATATGGCTTTTGTTTTAGATTGGTAATTATTAATGATGAAAACTTGAACTTTGTTGTGGACCCAACAACATGTTCTAAAGTAATGTTTTCTAGTGGTTATATAGCATACTTTGTGATGTGAGGTCTCACATTCAATTGTTATAGAGAGCAGTTTAACCCATTATAGGAATAACAATTTTTTAAAACTAATATACACTCCATGCTTATTCCTACATTGTTTGGGATCTTCAATGTAGATCAGTTGAATGTTATCATCACAAGAAAACTAAACCCCCAACATATAATCATATAATACACCTAGAAATATTAATTTATTAGCGAAGCCTGCAACAACAAATGCAAACTTCCAAAGAGAACCAAATCTAATCTTGGTAATAACAAAAATTGGTTCAACAGAAATTGGCATGGGGACATTAGGCCTATCAGAAATTGGCATGGGAGACCTTAGGATGTTAGGTAATGACCTGACTGTGTATATCAAGCTCTCGCACCTTCCCTCATCCTCATGTGTGATCCTTTCTTGCATGTGACTAAAACATAAATTAAATTGAACCAGGAGCACAAATAGACAGGAAACAAAGTGCACAAACAAATGTAGTGGCAATTACACAAGCAAGGTTTAAAGTGATGTCTCATGGAACCAAAACTTTGGTGTCATGTTTTTTTGGGTGAAACTTTGATATCATGTTAGGTAATCAATTGTCCCAAAAGCTTAAGCTATTAGAGGATGTCCCAAGAAAGTATATTAAACTCTTGCTTGCTTCATGTTTATTGTGCAGCTAACATAATTTTTTTTTAATAATCATGTCAATGCCAAAATGCTCAATACATAGGAACACTACTGGGAATGGTCTTCATCGAAACATACAAAAGAAAACATAACAAACCAAAAGAAACTCTCTCACAATCCTGAGGCTATGTCAAAATTTAAAAGGCTTAAAAGACATACAAGACTCCTAAAAATTGAGGCCTCAAGCATTATTGTCTAATATATCAACTTGATTGTCTAAGATGAATATGCAGTGTTTCTATTTTGAGCACTTATCTGTAAATAAATAAGTAAAAAAATATGTGATTTTAGAATTACTGATTTTGCAGAACAAAATTGCATTGCTTTGACCCATAACTTCACATCTTACTTATCTTGAGTTTTAGTCTACGAAAGTGACTTCTGTGACTGCTACTAACTTCTGTCCACCTAACCCTTCTCAATCTAATGACAATGGTGGGTGGTGCAACTCATAATTGATGTTCCTGACATTTAGTGCATTATGGTAAATTTGTGAGAAGTCACGTATTGGGATAAATAAATAAGTAAAAAAATATGTGATTTTAGAATTACTGATTTTGCAGAACAAAATTGCATTGCTTTGACCCATAACTTCACATCTTACTTATCTTGAGTTTTAGTCTACGAAAGTGACTTCTGTGACTGCTACAAACTTCTGTCCACCTAACCCTTCTCAATCTAATGACAATGGTGGGTGGTGCAACTCATAATTGATGTTCCTGATATTTAGTGCATTATGGTAAATTTGTGAGAAGTCACGTATTGGGAAAAATGCCAAAGCATGATGGTATATATAAGCTAATGCATTATGCAGTCAAACTTACCTCCCTCTGTAGAGCCTCATCAAGTTCTTGCTTATTATCAGGAGTGATATCTTTGGCGTATAATTGGGTTAAACAATTACGAATCCTGAACGAAAAAAATAAGGGATTGATCAAAGCAAATAAAAAACAATTCATAGCATCAAAGATTATAACACGTTGACAACACAAATGAAAGATTACAAATTATTTAATGACAAACCTTCCGTGCTTTTGAAGCAAAGATCTGCGGATAGATTGAGTAGGGTGAGCAGTGAAGACCATATCGACAATTTGATTTTTCAGAGCATCAAAAACATCTTCAGGAGATTTCTTCAGTTCCCCCACAAGTCTCTTGAGAGTTTCTTAAATAACGTGGTTTAAGCTTTTTTTTTTTTTTTTTTTTGCGACGGGGGTTGCTGTCGCCAAAAAAATTTATTTTTTGTTAAAATATTTTTTTTGTAGTTAATGATTTTTTTTAAAAAAATTAGTTATTAAGATTGAAAATTTATTTGTTTTATTTTTATTTTAATGAAAAAAATTTATTATTATTTTTTGTTTGGTAGAAGTAGAGGTAATATTTTGTGGTAGAGGAGAGGGAGCGACAGTAGTGGTGAAGGTGGTGGATAAGAGATGATGGTGGTGGTGATGGTAAAGGAGATTAGTGGTGAAGTTGTGGTAGTGGTAGAGTAGATGGAGTGACAGGGGTGAAAGAGAGGTAATGGTAGTAGTAGTAGCAGTGGCAATAGTGGTAGTGGTGGTAGTGGAGTGGTGGCGATGGTAGTAGTAATGGTAGTCGTAGAGGTGAAATGGCGACCGTGGTAGTAGTGGTGGTAGTGAAATGGCATTTGCAGTAGTGGTGAAGGTGGTAAAGGAGATGGGTGGTGAGAGAGAGAGATGAGTGAGAGACAGATAGATGAGAAAGAGAGAGAGAGATAGAGATAGAGAGACAGAGTGGTGAGCGAAAAGTGAGACAAAGTGGTCGCTAAAAGTGCATTTTCTTGTAGTGGATCGATAAATCGAGAGGGAGCTCAGTAAATAGAGAAGACGGAAGGAAGAGAGTGAGCAATGCGAACACAGTAGGGGGAGAGAGAGAGAAATAGAAAGAGAAGAGAGAGAGAGAGAGAGAGAGAGATAGAAAAAGAGAAAAAGATAGAGAGTGAAAGACAGAAAAAAAGATAGAAAGAGAAGAGAGATGAACGAGAGAGATAGAGAGAAGAGATATGAGCGAGAGATGAGCGAGAGAGAGGTGAGAGAGATAGAGAGAAGAGAGATGAGCGAAAAAGACAAAAAGAGAAAAAAGATGAGAGAAGAGATAGATGAATGAGAGACACAGAGAGAGAGAGAGACAAATAGATAGACAGACAGAGAAGAGTGATGAGTGAGAGAGAGGAACAAAAGAGAGAGAGGAAGATGAAAAAATGGATGAAAAGATATAGACAAGGAGAGAGAGAGACAGAAAGAAAGAGAGAAAAAAAAGAGTGAGAAGAGATAAACGAGAGAGAGAGACAAAAAGAGATGAGCGAGAGAGTGAGAGAGAAAAAAAGAAGAGAGAGAGAAGAGAGATAGAGAGAGAAGATAGATGAAAGAGATAGAGAGAAGAGAGATGGACGAGAGACACAGAGAAAAAGAGAGAGAGAGAGAGACAAACAGATAGAGACACATAGAGAAAGGGAGAGATAGACAGATAGAGAAGAGTGATGAGCAAGAGAGAGAAAGAGAAGAGAGACAGAGACAGAGAGATAGGAAGATGAAAAAATGGGTGAAAAGAGAAATATTCAAAAGAGTAAGACGACATCGTTTTTTTAAAATTTTTTTTTTTTGTGATAGAAAAATACCGTTGCATTTATTTAAACCATTTTGTGACTTTACATATATGAAGCCGTCTCAAAGCCACAATATATATATATATATATATATTTTTGCAACGATACCTATTACAGTTGCAAATTATTTTTTTTTTTGCGACTGCAGCATGTACCGTCGTAAAAACTCTATTTTTTTGCGACAGCAATCTCTACCGTAGCAAATACTCTATTTTTTTTGTGACAGCATTTTATGCCGTCGCAAATACTCTATTTTTTGCGACGGCAAGTTGTGCCGTCTCAAAAAGTCACATTTTTTTACAACGGCAAGTTGTGCCGTCTCAAAAAGTCAACAAAGTGGTCGCTAAAAGTGCATTTTCTTGTAGTGGATCGATAAATCGAGAGGGAGCTCAGTAAATAGAGAAGACGGAAGGAAGAGAGTGAGCAATGCGAACACAGTAGGGGGAGAGAGAGAGAGATAGAAAGAGAAGAGAGAGAGAGAGAGAAAAAGAGAAAAAGATAGAGAGTGAAAGACAGAAAAAAAGATAGAAAGAGAAGAGAGATGAACGAGAGAGATAGAGAGAAGAGATATGAGCGAGAGATGAGCGAGAGAGAGGTGAGAGAGATAGAGAGAAGAGAGATGAGCGAAAAAGACAAAAAGAGAAAAAAGATGAGAGAAGAGATAGATGAATGAGAGACACAGAGAGAGAGAGAGACAAATAGATAGACAGACAGAGAAGAGTGATGAGTGAGAGAGAGGAACAAAAGAGAGAGAGGAAGATGAAAAAATGGATGAAAAGATATAGACAAGGAGAGAGAGAGAGAGAGAAAGAAAGAGAGAAAAAAAAGAGTGAAAAGAGATAAACGAGAGAGAGAGACAAAAAGAGATGAGCGAGAGAGTGAGAGAGAAAAAAAGAAGAGAGAGAGAAGAGAGATAGAGAGAGAAGATAGATGAAAGAGATAGAGAGAAGAGAGATGGACGAGAGACACAGAGAAAAAGAGAGAGAGAGAGAGACAAACAGATAGAGACACATAGAGAAAGGGAGAGATAGACAGATAGAGAAGAGTGATGAGCAAGAGAGAGAAAGAGAAGAGAGACAGAGACAGAGAGATAGGAAGATGAAAAAATGGGTGAAAAGAGAAATGTTCAAAAGAGTAAGACGACATCGTTTTTTTTAAATTTTTTTTTTTGTGATAGAAAAATACCGTTGCATTTATTTAAACCATTTTGTGACTATATATATATGAAGCCGTCTCAAAGCCACAATATATATATATATTTTTGCAACGATACCTATTACAGTTGCAATTTTTTTTTTTTTTTGCGACTGCAGCATGTACCGTCGTAAAAACTCTATTTTTTTGCGACAGCAATCTCTACCGTCGCAAATACTCTATTTTTTTGTGACAGCATTTAATGCCGTCGCAAATACTCTATTTTTTGCGACGGCAAGTTGTGCCGTCTCAAAAAGTCACATTTTTTTACAACGGCAAGTTGTGCCGTCTCAAAAAGTCATATTTTTTGCGATGGCAAGTTGTGCCGTCGCAAAAAGTCATATTTTTTGCGACGACAAATGCGCCGTCGTAAAAAGTTCCGTCTCTTAAGTCCAGTTTTCTTGTAGTGACATTAAATTAGTTATTTATCTACTATCTCAAACATATCTAATCCATTCACTTAATAAATAATTTTCAATTTATAGATTAATAAAAACAAAAAATAAAAAAAAGGTTAAAAATATTAAGATTTCAAGAATAATGAGTTAGAATTAAGATTATATATAATAGGAGTTTACAAACTTAAGTTATAAAGATGATAAGGTTAATTAATTAAGGTTAATAATTTATTATACTTATTAATATCATTATATTATTAGATTATATATATATATATTATAAATACAATATATATTGAAGTGGTCGGTTTTGGTTTAGTTTGGTGTACAAAATGCTTGAACTAATACCAAACCGAAAACCGAAAAAATTAAATTTAAAAACCACATAGACTGATTCTTGTTAAAAAAACAGACCAAATATTGCCGGTTTGGTCCAGTACAATCAGTTTGATCGATTTTTCGATTTTTCGATTTTTCTTACCTCCCTACATATAGTTATGATTGTTATTTGTTAATGTTGCTCTTGTGATTACCATGTAGGGATGGTAATGGATAACCTACCCTGTGGGTATCCATGGAGATCTAACTCAAATACATGGATTTTCGCATTTTTTCTTGTCCGTTGGGTAGGATAAGTGATATTTTTTAAATTTCCATTGGGGTTGAGGTGGGGATGGGTACTCACTAATTTCTCTCTCTCTCTCTCTCTCTCTCTCTATATATATATATATATATATATTTTTTTTTTAGGTACATTGGAAAATAATTTCTTCATATGTTTTCATTAGGGATGGCAATGGGGGTTAATAGGATATATATTAATTTTCATCCCCATTCCTCTATAATTATTTTTCTCCATTCCCCATAAGTACTATCATCTCCATCTCCTAATGGGTTTGGATTTTCCCTAACCTGACTTGACCTTTTTTATTTTTTATTTTTTTAAGATTCATAGCCAAAACTAAATATACATTCAATCTTATTTTATTTTATTTGGCTCAACAACAAAATCAAATACACATTAATTAACATTGTCACATTATTCTTGTCAAATTTTATATATATTTAGAATTTTTTAAATTTATTTAGAAAAATTCTATTCCTACAAAAAAATTCCATCTTCTTTTTAAATTTTATGTATCTCTTTCTCTGTATTAATTTATCTTCGATAATCTGAATGTGAGTTGTTGCTCTCATTTCCATCTTCTTCTTTTCTTTTTTTTAAAAAATTTTTATTTGCATTTATAAAATAAATTTTCTTGTTTCAATATCTCCTGCAATTGTTTTATTGGATCTCTCTCTGATTTGATGGTAAGCTTAGATTGAATTTCTCAATTTTCATCTTAACTAGTGATCACCTTAATTGAAATTTTGTACATTTTTTTCTTCAATTCCATGTTTTGGTTATGATTAATTTTTGATCGATAGTCACAATCTTGTCGCTGCGAGATTGTTGCCATCGCAAATCGCCGTTGCTGTAGTGAAAGGATGAGAGAGAGTGAGAATTGGAACTCTAATTGTAAATAGAGTAATGAAAACATATGGATAAATTATTTTTCAATGTACTTAAAAAAAAAATGAGAAAATTAGTGGGTACCCATCCCAGGTGGAGATTTAAAAAATATCACTTATCCTACTCGACAAACAAGAAAAAAAGGGAAGCCTATGTATTTGGGTTGGGTCTACATAGATACCCACATGGTAGGTTATCCATTGTCATCTCTAGTTTTCACTACTCTGTTTACAATTAGAGTTTTGATTCTCACTCTCTCTCATCCTCTCACTACAGCAACGACGATTTGCGATGGCGACAATCTATTGGCGACAAGATTGTGACTATCGATAAAAAAATGCGCAATTAATCATAACCAAAATATGAAAATTTTCATTAATCATAACCAAAATATGGAAATTGAAGACAAAAATGTACAAAATTTCAATTAAGGTG